GTTTGTTCATTATGATCCTAGTGATCAACAATCACTATAATCCTTCATTTTTCTGCTGCAACCTTGAGAAGCATCCTAATTCTAAATAGTGTTCTATAAAATTGGTAATAAATAAGAGTATTTTGAAAGCAGCAGCCATGGCAGGAAGTTCTTTTATGTCCAGAGTGCCTCCTCTGTGCTCTTCTACTTTGTTACATACATTAGACAGATCAGATTGCATTCCTTTTGAAGGATTACACCATGATACGATATATGACATTTGTCCAAAGCACTCTTAAGTTGCAGTCAAAGTATGGGAAACTTAGTCAAATGACCACTATGACCTAACACAGGCGTCATTCTGATTGATAGTAGATTGAATTAATTCTTCAGTAAAGCACACTTCTGGATTTGCTGATTAGTAGCAACATGCTTAGTTCTCACTAAAAATAAATCCAGCTCCTACCAGATCACTAGTTCAAGACCACAGAGAAAACAGCATGGTCTGATCATAGCTGCAATACAGCCACTTCAGTTCCCACCATTACAGCACAGCATAGCATGCTCTTGGTAGCTTACAGTGGTGAGCACCTGTGTCACAGAAATGAGCTGAGATCTGCTACATATGGAATTTGTAGCCAACAAAATTATTTTCAGACCATATAAACAAAGAGAAATGACAATGACACATGGGGGTTTTCTTCTCCGGCTGTGCTTGCTACCCTTTCTGTGAGGTCCTGATGACGATGTGTACTCCAGGTTTAACCCTGTAAAAAGCCCAGGCTTTTGCAGAACAATGGAGAATGACAACAGACTACCCTGGTGCAGGAACACCACCTAACAAGAACAACTTCCACCACCTAGTTCATTGGCATAAGCCAAGCATTCTGACAAGGTTTTAAAAAAAGCAGGTCACATTTGGGAGACACAACACCTTCTCAGTTTCAGCTGTGCAATTTTGCCAGTTTTCTGTTTGGTTTTATTCAATTTCCCAGCATCAAAGTGAAATAGAGTAAGATTAAACAGAACAGAAAAAAACCCAGAAAAACATATTCCAAATACAGTCTGACTTTATTGAAACCATATTTCCTTTTGGCAGTCCTACTGCACCTTGACATTGCATATATTTATGCTTTTCAATTTATTTTAGTTGGAACTTTATTGCTTTGCTACTTCCTTATGTGTAAGGACAATCTCACAAAACATCAGTGCTGACAAGTTTCTTTCTAAATTTAATTACCAATTCAGTTGCACATCGAGGGTTCGAAGGAAGGCAATACATGTCACAGGCTCCTAATTCAAAGGCATCTTTACAATCCCTTTTTATTTCAGGCAAAAACCTAATGGATTAAACAAACCTGCAACTATTCAAGCAAATAGCCAAGACCTCATCAGTTAAAAAAATTAGTTACAGGTTCTGACAGCACCACTTACTGAATTACATTTGATTAAGCATCGAGGGTAGTAAACTGTAAGACTGAAGTGCTGAATAAAGAATACATGGAATACAACTTACTTTTGATCATCTTGTTACCATTTCTCCCTTCTCAAAATATTTATTCCTTTTAAATTATGTAATAACATCAAAATGGCCCAAAAGTATCAAACCAAAGATCCTGTATGCAGCAGCCGGTAGCATGATAACTACAGCTAAATCCAGCAAGGATCTACAACAAAGAAAACTAAGGTTAAGGAAAACATCTACTCCTAATGCTTTTATACAACTTGTGTTTTGAATTGAATGGCCTTTGAAATACTTCAGGAATACAAAAATTTCTACTCTACCCAGCTACTAAGCTTGATTCTAACCTTAGCTTATTTTTACAAGCAGTGGAAGATAAACTTCTCCAAATACAGATTTCCCATAATCAAAATCAAAGAAAAGCAAGGCAGTAATTCAAGCACCACCATAAAGCTAATTCAGGGACAAAAACAGGGGGCATCCTGCTGTGGGGTATTTTCAGCCATTGCTACCTTTCTTAAACTAAGAAAATAAAAATTGTATTTTTAGAAATAGTTAAACATAAAAGCTACTACTTCAGAAGAGGCTAGGGTATTTTGCAGAACTCAGGCAGAAATATCTACAGGAAAACAGTAACTGCTTGCAAATAATGTTTGCTAACTGCATCCTAAGACACTCTAGGGACTTGCAGTCAGAGAAGCTGAGCACCAGTTGCTCAGTAACCTGAAGATGATACTGCTCAAGGTCTAAACACAGAAGTAATTAGCAATGAAAGTAAGAATTTGGTGCATTGGCTTTGAAAATAAGCCTGGTCAAGCCTGAAGAATGAACTTGAGTGACTTGTTTCCTTTCAGATGAACATAGAAATGACAGAGGTTTTCCCTTTAGAAGTTGTCCTGTTTCAGGCTCAGTATTACCTTTAAATGAGATCCAGTAAGCATTTTTGTATTCTTCAGGCCAAAAGCCAGATCTCATCCTTCCTGCCAAACAGGCAAAACAAGTGCTGCTTGCACTCAAGAATCAATTTATACATTAATCATCTTGACAGGGTGGAAGACTGGCCACAGTGATCCTGAGCCCTCAGCCAGATATGAAACCAGTATTACTCATTCATTGTGTGTTCTACCCATATCTCATGATCTACTGGCAATAAATGTTCTATACATGCTGTAATACAAAGTAATAAAGTTGTTGAACTACTACATGAACCCACTCAAACAACTGAGGATTTCAGACATTATATGAATTTCATCAATAATGAAGAAATACATCACAAGATCAGAAGCAAGCCAATTTGCTGAGAAGGAAGGAGATTCTGCCTAACCCTGTCAATTCTTCTACTCCTCTGCTAAAACCCAACTGGTCAGCTGAAAGCTCTGCTATGGACAGTTTACCATAACCTTTGATTTTGAACTGAAATAGAAGCGCTTGTGCCATACAGCTACAGCTGAGAATTTGTCATAGCACTGAGAGGTTTCACCGCCCAAGCAATTTCACACAAAGTATAATTATTCCTTAACATTTAAACTGTATTAATAGTCAAACAGTTAAGTCTCCTTTTCACACCACAACTGCCATCCTACTCTTACCTCTTAGTACAACAATAAAGCTTACATAGAAAACCACCACTATCAGTTAGGATTTGGATTCCTTTGTCCAGCTGCTGAAACGACTCGGGAGCATCTTATTCATTTAAAAATACCATGTTGTTTTACTGCAGTCCTTCACGTCATGCAACTTAGTGAAACAACATTGTTTATAGAAACTACACAACAATGCAATCTGAAAACACAGGTCCCAAGCCGCAATTAGCACTTTGTAATTGCTTTCAACAATGCTGATTTCTGACAACTCTGTGTTTATACTCTTCCTTACATATTTGCTTTTGCTTAAGGAGGTTTTTTTACTTCATTTGGAGTGAGTCCTGTGTTGTGAACTCAATGTCTCAATCATAAATATCCAAGAGATACTGGCTGATTTAGTTTCACTGTTTAAGCTGAATTGCAAAAAAAAAAAAAAAAAAAAAAAAGGAAAAAGAAAAGGCATTTTTTTAAATGGTAGCTGAGAAAGTACTTAAGACTTAGCATCTTTGTTTTATAAAGGTGCCTCATTTGCTCTCCATACTGAATAGTACAGTTTGCACAATTATCAAAAGGTTGATACCAAATTGTAATTGTACCCATTGTACTGAAGAAATTTACTGCACTCAAAGCTTGCAATGCTCCAGATTCCAACAGACAAATCTGTATGATCCAATATTACTAGAGTGTAATAGAAACTGTTTTCAGGTACTGAAGTGTTCCAGCCCTGTGCCTAAACTACATCGAGGCCAGTGCACGTTTAAATATGAACTTACTTGAGTTACAGAATTATTGATTAGGGTCTTGCAAAGGGAAAAACAGCTTCCCTGAGAGCCAAGAAATCTCAAACTTCCCTTTTCTACTTCAAGTTGCAGTGATAAGCATAATGTTAACACAGTGCTCCTACATATAAAATGTTGTATTATTTAAACTCAAATTCTTTCCTTTGGAATTGAGAGCAAATTACTGAGATGACAAGAAATTCACAACATTATACACCCAATTCAAAAATTCCCATGTTTCTTCCCCACAATCATAAACCACATTTTTTACTTCATATTTTTCCATTACTAGATTTTATCACCTTAACAGTAGATGACAATAACTATTTGGAATTAACACCAGTTCAAAGAGATGAGTTGAGGGTTCAGCTTCAATCGTATCTGTTGTGGCAACTGTATTAAACTTCAGTTTAACAGACATAAGAGCAGAAATGTAACATCCATCAGAAACATGAGAACAATTTCCATCTTTTTTATTTAACCACATAAGTACATGTCAACAGTTGGCATAAACTTCATAAAAATACAGTACCTTTTTGTGCTGTAACACTAGTCACAATGTTTATATAAAGATTTTTTCCTGCTTCCTTGAATGCAATTAACATTTTAAAAAGTGACTTCCCAAAAGCCCTTTTTGTGAGTTTCCTTATAGAAATTTTTCCAAAATCTATTCTGTAAAAGTTAAAAAGTGAATGCATTTTCAGCCATTCTCCCTCGCCCTCTCAATAAAAGATTTTAAAAAAATAAGAAGTCTTAGAATACTGATCAGTCGTTACACTATTACTTTATCACAGGTTCCCATGTGATCGATACTCTTAAGAGGAGTGACAGATGCTATTCCTATAGCATCTAGTATTGCTAGATGCTATCAGGGCTAAAAAGACCAGTTAGATCAACAGACTGATGACTGAACAAAACAACCAAGCCAAAACAAAAGCGAAACATGAATGATATACAGAGAAACATTAGACTTTAAAAGTCTTATACCGTAGAATCACAATTACTGTGATACCTCCCAATGGCAATAAACATACAAAAATTCTACCAAGTCAGTTGAACGGCTAGAGGGTGTCCTTGCACTGAGTATCTTGGAAAGCAAGTTCTCTAAATTCTTTATTATCCACAATATTGGCACGACACCAAGATGACAGAAAAACTGCAAAACCAGTCTAATATTGTTGGAGCAATTATATCCACACCACTGACTATATCCTTTATCATACTTTCATTTTTCTTTAATGCTGATGACAAAATCCAGGCAGGATCTAATACACGGGGAAAGAAAATAGGGCATAAATTTTGAAAGTTGTTCTTACCAAGTTAGGCGCTGAAGGTCTAGTTAAGGCAGAGAAGGGTTTATTTTAGTATCTTTCTAAGGCTATGACAGATTTTTCCTGAATAAAGCGTTTTCCCTTAAAAATTTCTTGTATATTATGCCAGCTTATTTTGAATGCATACGAATGCTAAAACTCCTTGGACATGGAGAAGCTAAACTATTGCTCACTGCAAATATGACCCTTATTAGTCTTCTTTTGTAATACCAATAAGACTCTAAGAACATGCACCTAAATAATGAAGTTTCGAGTCTGCATACAAACTTTTCCATTTCAAAAGCAAGCTTAAAAGCATGTGTTAAGTGATCCAAAATGACAAACGTTCTTAATCCTCTCAAAGAAAAAGATTTATTTCTTTCAGACATGACTAGTGAAGCTATGTGACTTTTAAGAGAATTTCTAGTATCACCTTGTCCAGACAGAGATGGGTAATGAAAGTGACATAAGAAATGTGATGCCAGATGCTATAGCACCATTCCTTTGTTCTTAGCTTCTAGCACCAAAGCTTTAAACAAACTTGCTTTGCTAAGACATTCCGACAGTCCCATTTCACAATAGCATTGGTTTTGAGAATGAAGTTACTTCCCATAGATACTTTTAACTCTTTTTGGATCAGTGTTAAATAAAATGTGCAAACACATAATCATTTGCATAGCAAATCTCAAGGGACTGACCCTGAAATAGAAATCCAAACTGTTAGGTCTAAGATATTTCTATAATCAGAATTCACTTAAAATGGTAAAAAATAAAATACATATTTTTCCATTTTAAGTCTAGTAGAAAAGGTATTTCTGATTTAGAATTCTTATAGTTACTACTTTAAAAAGTTGAAGGACCGATGGTTCTTTGCATTGAAACGTTATTCCTTTGGAATCTTCAAGACTCTGTAATTGCTGTTTTCAAATACTGTAATGAAATATGGCCTGGAATCCTTGCTCATAAGGGTACATAAAGGAATTCTGCCGCTATTTGCAGGGTCTTCGACATCCCAAATTTCAGGCATACTGCAACCAGGCCTAGAAAACACATGAATATGAAAACAGAAATGAAGAAATGCCATCAAAAAACATACAGTTTGCTGAACTCAGTTTTATAACCCCTGCTATGAATACTTGACTGTGACATTTACATTTTTTTGAACTTTATCTTTATACTAGAAATTCTTATCAGACTACAAAAATCAAGAAATATAGCAGTAATTTAAAAAATAGTACTGAGAATTGTAAAAATTATCTGCTTTTGTGGCTACATAATTAATAAGAATTAATTTGTAGGAGGAAGCATCCAAAACAACTCAAATTATACAGTATACATTAGCAGGGACCCTTAAAACTTCCTGTAAAATGAGGGTGATGTTCACACTAACATTTCTAAAGAAAACTTAGTCAACAAACCATCTTTTTTTTAAAAAAAAGTAGTAACTCCTTGGTTTTTTATTAAGGCATGCAACCAACATAATTCCCTCTACAGTTATCTTGCAAAGGTAGAATTACTGAGAATTTCCTAATTTTGTCAAAGATAACAGCAAAGAAACAGAACAGATTCATTTCATTTTATTCTAAATGCAACCAAAAAAAATAATCCAAAAGTAGTTGTGTTCCAAAGGCCAAAAAGAGAAATTGAAGGGGGTGGCAGCGGCGGGGAGGGGGGCACACAGCTTTTTCTTAAAGACAGTTTAAATGTGACAAAATTTTCAATGACCAGCAACAGTCATAATATTTTGGTGCTCAAACTATCTTTTACTCCACACATTTTATTCATACTAGGCTTTCATTATACACACATATCTGTTCTTGCCATCACAGAATAATGACTTAATTTGTGAATCCCTTCTGCATCTTACAATGAAGTTTAAAAATACACACAACATAGCTTTTCAGGTGCACAGAAAGACCACAAGGTTGCTAATACAGGTGAAGTTAATTATACTTATTAATATCTGGAGACACTGGACAAAAATGGACACTTAATAAAGCACAGATCAACATTTCAAAACTACTATTTGATATGAATCTTAGACTACATATTTGAGCAGTGTATGACTCTTGTGAGAAAGGCAGAGATTACTCACTTTTTTCTGCTTACACACAATGACTCTTCCAGAATGTAGTAATTCACTCCTAGTTTTATCAATTCTCTTTTTACTTCTTTTGCAGGTTTTCGACTGTACATAGAATACACTACTTTAGTTCTGGCCCTTCAAAAAAAGAAATATAAAAGTTAGCTAGTAACATAGCATGAAAATGTAAGCTTTAACTTTAGACTGGACAGGAAGGCTTTTTATTTCACAAGACAACTAGGCTAAAACAAAGCTTAAATTAATAGTGCCGTTTGCTTTAACGTGATTATTTCTTCACAAATGTAATGATTCCAAGAAAAATGTATACAGTGCTTTGATTTTTCTGTGGCAGGGGACAACTTTGTCTTGAAACCCGGAGTTACTGTGAACAGAAAATGTCAAGATGTCAAATCAATGCCTTCACCACATAATAGTCAAGGCTAAAAACGACCTTGCTTGGACTGGAGGTGATCAGAAGAAATCATCTGCCTGGTCTCTGCAAAAACGTCATACTCATTGCCTTTGTTGAAACTTTTCTAAATGCAGAGTGCAAGACCTGATGTCTGCCTATGCTGAATCAAGCAAAATCATCACTTGTAAACCATGATCCTGTTTATATTACCCAGTAATATAAGCCTTTGATTGTGCAAAGCATGACATTGTTAAATCTGTTCATTTTCTAGCCAATCTATCCTACAGCATATCCTTTCTGATCAACACAGATCCTGAAGAAATACTGCGTTTTCAGTCTGACTAAAATAATAAATCAAGTACTATGGGCTTTTAACGAATTTTACAATATAACATGATGCCATTCCTACTGTATATTACCAACATTAAGAGAATTAATAGCAAATAAAAACAAACCCCCAACTTCGAAGTTTACCTTAGTCCTGCATCTTCATAGTGAGGATGATTTACAATAGGACGAAGTGTAGACAACTTAACACTTGCCATTGTAGGCATTGCTCCTGCAAAAACTGCATCTGAAATACAGAATGAAAGGCATGTTTGAAATGAAGAATCAAGCAGTAAAAGCAGAGAAGCAATCTTCAAGTATCTAAACAGTAATGCTGCAGAAAAACAGAGAGGGTAAGGTACTCTTTTTGAAAAGGCGTCACATGGCACCAACAGGAGATGCACAAAATCACTTTTTTTTTTTTAAAAAAACTTGAAGTCAGTGTAAGTCATTATATCTCTAAACATCTAAGAACAGATATTTAATACAACTTATTTATCTTGAATGGGTAGAATAACATAGTCATTATGACAACATGTTTTTATTTGTCACTTCTTGCACCACTGTTAAATGAGCAATAAAATCTCAGTCCACTTTGGCTAGAAAGTCTTTTCATGCTAAAAAGGTAACTACTTTGTTTCCAGCTAGTTTTCTGACACTTTTACTCATTTTAGCAAAAGAATGGGTGCAACTACAACACACGTACTTTGAACTCTCTTGTAGCAAAATGATGATCATAGATCCACATACAGGATCAGTGTCATTTAAGTAAAAACCCATTTTAATTGGACTTTGCAAAAACACTTTAGTTGTAGAAATACTACACCAGTGGCTGGAACCTCCACATTGTAGCCTGAAGCCTAACAAAGCAAGCTTTTAGTGGTTTTTAATTTGAGATAGCTATGGACAAGTATGTGTGACTAAACCATGGCTTTAGGATAGTCCCAATGCAAAGCCACAGACAGTAGCAATACCTCTGAAGTCATTCATACCAAGTTCTACAGTTACATCTCACAGTAAACAGGGAACATCATATTTTATTAAATTACCTTGTCTGGTATTGACTTTTATCCACTCTAAAAGTTCCTCCTGTGGCAAATTGCTAAATTCTCCCATGATGTTCCACTGAGTTTGAAGGTTTGCTGATCCTTCTATTGCCATCAATGCTAAAATAGCAAAGACCAATGTTTTGGGCTGGATTTTACAGAAGAGCCATCCAAACAACTGAAATGCAAGAATTGATTAATTTCTAGACAACAATTCTGTAATGTTCTATGCAGTACAATTTGGTTTTATTTCTCTATAAGGAATCTAACATATGTTATAATATGAAGTGTCTCTGCTATTGCTTCTCCAATAAACTGCAGTGAGACCTCATAAGTATTCATGTTTACCCAATGTAAGGCATTATATTTGTAATTCTAAAAAAACCAAAAAAAAACCCCCAAAACCCCCAAAAAAACCAAAAAAGGAAATTGACATTAACACAGCTTTTAAAGTTGTAGTTCAAATGTCAGATTCTGCAAGTAATGATGATTCAAAAATGCTAACTGCACTTTTACAGTATTTTATCTATTTACATCAAGAGTTTCTACATTGTACTGCAAACTTCTGAAAATATATCAGAAAAGCAGACTTTGGGGCTAGAAGGTTAATGCTGCTTTATATCCTACTCTTCCCTTTCTTGAACTGAAGAAGACGGCCTTTCCATTTTTTCCTAAAGATAGTTTGCTGAAGCCTCTAAGCAAATACTCATAAATATGTGAAATGGGTAGTTAAGAAGTACCACCAAATTTGTTATGTTGAAGTTTAGTTTGAGCAAGAACATTTTATCTCATCCATATCTGACCTAAATCTTAAATAAGACGAAGTATGAATTACTTTTTTCTTTCCAAGCTATTGTTAACTAGAAGTAAGGTTTCACATTTCAAAATTATCAAACCTGCACTAAATAAATACATTTCATTCAGAGTACCTTTACAGGGTTTTAATTAAAGTATGAAATGATAAAATAAAGTTTCACAGTGAAACCTCCCACTAGGCTGACTACAACAATTAGGTAGCATATGTTATCTTAGCTATAAACTAACCATAAACTACTTTAGAATATTAAAAATCTCAAGCGACTTCTCCAAAAACACACTGTACTCTACTCTCATCCTCAAAAGACTTGCTGAACACTCTAGCAAGAACAGCAATACTATCCATGGAAACTTAATACACCAAATATGCCTGACCACTGTGCAGGTCTGGAAGCATGAAGATAAATTGATTTATTTGTATGCAGCTCTAAATAAGCAAATCTCCTTTTTACCAACAGTTGCAAAAATCTCACTTCAAGAACATGTTACAACTTGGGAATTCTTTATTAAGTTCCATGGCTTTTCAAGTCAAAGAAAATCACAGTGTATGTCTCCCTGTGCTCAAGCTCAATACACAGCATATTAACTCATATAATAATGCAGTTGGACAAGTTGCATAAAACAAGATATTTGCTTGATTTCGGTAAAAGAGAGAATGGAACCGTATTTTTTGACAGGCAATATAATCTGGTTCATTTTTAACTGGTACACTCAGATTCAGCACTTGCAGAGAAATATCTGGGTAATACTGTATGTACTGAGGACAGCTACAGGATTAAAAAAAGACCTTACCTGTTTTGAACACACCAAGGAAGCCATAACACATAGATGTGGTGTCAAAAACAGTTTTAGTCTCATGATTAAAATTGCTAGGACACTGTATGCCAACAGCTGCAACGCATGGTATACCAGCTGCAAAAACAAACAAACCAACCAACCATACAAAAGCATAATATTAGCATACTTTTCGTTTGTGTCTTAAACAGCTCATACTTACAACTTCATTTTCAGTATAACTTAAGTGACACACTTGTCTGAAAAAGAGTCCAAGCCAAGTAAAGATCTTCACATTCCATATAGTGATAAGGACTTTCTGTTACTTTTTTTCCTAAAGTGTATGCAGACTGCTAAGGTATGGACCAGGAAGGATAACCATTAACAATAGAACCAAAAGGAGCTGGAGAAATGGCTAGCTATGCAAAAGATCCTGAAACATAAACAGGCAATAACATACGTAAAATTTCTTGTATAACCTCTTTATAGAAGTGAGGAGACCTTGATATTTAATACCTAAAATACCTAAGCATGAAATGAAAGAATCAAATAAGATTATGCTCAGTACTCACACAACTCCAGGCAACTTGCTTTAGTTTTCTCAAAAAAGGTTAAAAAGGTTGAGAGAGATGCCACTCACCACTTCTAACACTGAATCTACGTTACTTGTGGAAGTGCTGTGGTAAATCATAAAAGCAGTGATTGCAAAAATGCCTCTATCTATATGATTATCATATTTTGAATGGCATGAGATTTCTCTCACAGCACAAACAACAAATAAACTGCTGTTAAAGTTTTTCCACAGTCCTTGCTGACTTAACTGCAAATAAAGAAACCACATAAGCAAGCTGCTATTCAATTATATTTTTTGCATAATTTTTAAAATTATTTTAATTATGGCATATTTCAAATCAGAATTTTAACATTATCTGTCATGTGAAACCCCGGTAAAGGAACCAATCTCCTTCTCAGTCTATACGGGGAAAATGGAAGGTCCAGCCTAATTTCAGTGTCTTTCTGTACTGCTACAGCAAAAGCCCAAAAGACTCCTCTCTTGCACTGCCATCCCACCATTAGCTAGTATATTTTTTTTGCTCAACATTCCATAGTTATTCTGGTGATGTACCAGACCAAATTAAGATGAGGGAATAAAAGATACAAATACTTACCTTCAAATAAACCATGTATCAGGACCATAACATTGCAACCTATATTCACAATAACACATGAATAAGATTGTGCAGAAAAAGAACCTTACCTCACCGTGGTTAAAATGTTCCTCTCTGGAAAAAACAAACAAACAAACCACAAACAGAAAATCACATTATTTGTTAATGTACTACAGAAGCACTGGCTTTACTTTGAAGTCACCTATAGTGGCTCTAGACAACTGAACTAATCCAGTAAGCATGAGTCAGCACCCGCACAGACTGTTTTCCCCTCTCTAATAAGCTTTGAAGTATATTGCAAATCAGTAACTATCCTCCTCAATCCCTACACATCTATTTGGAAATCTGAAAATTAATTTTAGCAGTTTTTTTTAATTACTTCAATGAATTATTTCATATACAGCACAGCTTATTTAGAGAACGAAAATTCAGTAACATAAAAGAGGCAGAGCAGTGGTACCAGAGTGTCAGTCATTTACTCAGGTACTACATCGATTGGTTTTGGATTCTCAGAGGGAAATACAAGGGTGAAAAGAGTGAAAATCATGTATACTTGCTGTTCTCCAAAAACAACTGAAATGATCAGTGACAATTAAAAAAAACAACAAACAGGAAGCAAAAAGATATGACAGGGAAATGACAACACTCAATGGGACAAATTAACTGCTCTTGAGCACAGCATTGACAAGTGATGCCAAATGGCTGTGACAGGTAAAGCATATACTACAGATATTTAGAAAATAAAACGAATACAGTTGGGATCTCTCCCTAAAGATGAAACTCGGGTATCTTTATAACGTGCAAAAAAAATAATGGGGAGGAAAGAATTCGCGTTCACTATTTATAGGAGAAAAACAAATAAGCACATAAATAAATACTGGTGTAGGAACAGAGCAGAAAAATAAATGATTAAATAGAAAAAATCTGGGGGTAAGAGGGTTAAGATGTCTAAAACCAAGTTCAGCAGCTAACATCCTATAACAATACTACATATAGCACATCCAAGCCATTCAGTTACTGAACTATACATAATTTAACCTTCGAAAAGGACCAACATAATGTAGAATTCTGAATGATTTAGCATATAGCAAATCAAATAAACTTCTAGCAGAAAATTCGGTTTTACATTAACAAAGACGACAATATTTACCTTTCACTGTGGCCTGCCTGAGGTAGGGCCCACATAAGATATTTAATTGCCTGAAGAAAACAAGAGCCAACAAAAAGCGTGAATAAACTTTCTGAAGCATTTTCAACATTTGTTAAATTAAATTACACCTGCGTAATCTCATTTTGAGGTAATGCTAAGATAAAGACATGCAATGTTTCAGCTAAAAATTCTTTTCGAGGATGTTTAATTAGCCAGGCAGTTAGCAGTTATCCCATCTGTTCCTGTGTAAACTGTAAGTTGTTTTTACACAATTGTACATAATCAAATTTGCAAAAACAGTTATAAACTTCAGTTATAGTACTCATTAGCTAAGTGACAGGAATTTTTTACCACTGACTCAGGACTGGACCTTTGTAAAAAAATCTACATGAGGAGAATATAGAATTTTAAGCAAATATTTTTGAACACCTATATTTTATCTAACTGTATTTGGTTTACATGGCAAGGTTTTGGTAGCAGGTAGGCTGCAGGGGTGGCTTCTGTGAGAAAAGACCAGGGGCTGCCCCCACATCAGACAAAGCCAGTTCCAGCCAGCTTCATAACAGATCTACCACCAGCCAAGCTGAGCCCATCAGTGACACCGGTGGTGCCTCTGTGATAACATGTTTAAGGTAAAAAACCCACTGTGCAGCAGCTTTAAGAGAGAGCAGTGAGAAAAATGGGAGAGAAACAACCCTGCAGACACCAAGGTCACTGAAGGAGGGGGAGAAGGCACTCCAGGCACTGGAGCAGAGATTCCCCTGCAGCTTGTGGAGGAGACCATGGCGATGTAGGTTTTCCCCCTACAGTGCATGGAGGACCATGGTGGAGCAGATATCTACCCTGCAGCCTGTTGAGGACCCCATGCCAAATTAGGTGGATATGACCTGAAAGAAGCTGCAACCCATGGAAAGCCCACACAGAAGCAAGCTCCTAGCAGGAACTGCAGCTCACGGAGAGAAGCCCACACAGGAACAGGTTTTCTGGCAGGAGCTGCGTCCTGTGGGGGACCCATGCTGGAGCAGGCCATTCCTGAAGGGCTGCACCCTGTGGAAAGGATCCATGCTGGAGCAGTTCTTAAAGAACTGCAGCCTGTGGGAGGGACCCATCAAGCCTGGGAAGAAGGGGGTGGGGATGAAGGGAAGGTGTTATTAGTTTTGCTTTTGTTTCTTACAATCCTACTCTATTTTTAATTGACCAGAAACTAAACTAATCTTCCCCAATTCAAGTCTCTTTTGCTCATGCCAGTAAATTGGCAAGTGACCTCTCTGTCCTTATCTTGACCTATGAGGTTCTTCAACTCTTCCCCCCGACCCCGTACTGCTGAGGACAGGAAAAGAAAGCACAGCTTGGCAGGTACCTGGCAGCTAACCAAGACTAACCCACCACACTAACTTCTTCCCATCTCAAAATAAGTAGTGATCCCTTTAAAAAACCCTAAAAAGTAAGTTCAAGGTAAAGGTGATTCACTAAATCGTTCACTTACCCTTTTGATAATTACCCCAAAAACCATGAAAACAACTGGTAATAGCAAAGTCTTTGTGTATCTTACTGGAGTCTACAATGGAAACAAACTGCATTAATTGCTTTCCATTCACCTATAATTACTTCAACGGTCATTCTAAATAAAACGATATAAGGAGTTCTTCCTAAAGAGTAAAATGTAAATTTAAACATTCAGCAACAAAGCAAGCTTAAAGAAACTAAAATTTAAACTCAACCTAGCAATCACACTAGAGGTCATAATACTACGGTCATTAGAAAAATCATTCTCAGTTCTTTGGCAAGCCATCCAAAGACTAAAAGTAGATTGTATCTCATCTGAATATGAGTACTACAGGCTGAGTAACCTATAAACATTTTGAACACGTATCTAAATACTGATGAACTAAAAAAAGTCTACTAACGCCACTTTAAGAAGCTTCAATGCTCTTCTGTAGTCTAAATCTACCACACAAGATCTTTGCAGCTCCTAGTACATTTTCCATATACTCAAAACCAGTTACTGACAGCCACATAAAATATTAAGCTTGCAGAACTGTAACCTTTCATTTACCCCTGAGCAAGCACTTCTTTCATTTAAGCAAGAACATTTCTTAGATCCCAAATCAAAACACTGTCTTGGTTTTAGTTCATTTAAAAGCAATAAAACCAGTTAAATTTAGCTTAAGTTCATTAATGCCTCTTCATGAGTAAGCACTTGAACTTACGATGGCAGTAAGAAGTTATGGCTCTCAGATATTTTAAGATATAAATTAAGATAAAACAAAAAGTTCCCTCTTCCAAAATCATCTATTTTGATCAAATTACCTCTTTTTCCATGAAGTCAAACTCTGCAGCACAGGTATACATTAATGTATCAAAATCTTTGTAGCCAATAAATTTAGATTTTAATATATTTCCTATATGGGCCTGGTAGGATATACAGAAAAAAAAAAGCTGTAATAAACAAAACTGGTTCTGTTTTCCACAACAAAGTACTCTAAATTTATATGAGAAATATTTTTAATTAGAAGTTTATACATTTACAATATTGTTACGAAAGCACCAAAAAAAAAAAATCTCTTTCTGCTATATTAAACTACATCTTTGAGTGTTATGCAGATTGGACTGTATTAAATAAAAAGCAGAAAGCAGCAGAAAAAAAGGTGTTATCATTGCAACTGGGTTCAATAAGAGTATAGTTTTACATTCTCATATTTTAAGACATGAGCTTCCTATCTCTTGCTCCTTGATGCACATCTGCAGATAGGTTTTTAACAATGGAATCTGATAAAGGGGCTGAAGTGAAGCAAGGAGTCCTAGGTACAACAAGCATTTCAAATCTGCCTAATTAACTTCAGAGGAAAGTGAACTAGGAAATTGAGTAAATAAAGAAAAGATGTAGGTAAATGATATCCAAAATAAACAAAGCTCTATAAATCCACTTTTAAAAGCACACAGAGAGAATTTACTAACTTTTGTACAAATATTTTTGTACAAACATTTATCTAAACTTTGGCAATAACATCTCAAAGTGACAATACATAATGAATGAGAAAGCAAATATGCAATCCCTCTCCCATTTCTGCAAAACAGATCATGGAATTTCAGGAAAGTGTATCAGTAAGATGCCAAAATGAAAATATTAACAATTAAAAAATTCTTGAAAGACATCGACCAGATACTCAGATAAGAGAACTTACATCATCAGCTATTCCAAACACTAAAGAAGTTAGGTACTTCAAGGTGACTGTCCCAAATACCCAGGCACATCCTTCAATGACCTTAAAAAAATGTATTCAGAATGAAATAAATGTCTCAACAAACCTTTAAAGGAACATTTTCTTTTTTAAAAGGCTTATTAAACTTATCAACTAGTTACAAGCTCTCCTATTTATCACCAATAAGTACAGTAATTTCTAACCAATTACACTTCACAAATTTCAGTACATTAGGGTGTTCTTAAGTTTTTTTGGTATTTTCTATTACAGCTGAAATTATTTTGTGCAATTGATTTACATTACGGCTGTACCACTGCACACACCGTAGCAGAGGAGGTACCAAAGTTAACTCTAAACAGGGGCAGCCTAACTGTCACTTCCATTTGCTTTGCATACACCAGTGTGAAGTGATTATTTCCCACCAATAGCCTCTCCATATTATCAGGTTGTACTACTCCGGTAATTCAAATCTTTATTTATAGTACCTTCTCAAGACAATCTCAAGTTAGAACTTGAAGGAAATATAAAGAAAGTATGTACAATTACTACATTTAATTACATACCATGTTTATTCCTGTACCAGAATGATTAAATTCTTAGCAATGTGGCTTAATCTATCTAATTCTTTATAAAATGGGATCAAGTGAACAGGACAACCTGGCTCAGTGTCTTGTATCTGGGACCAGCAGCAGATACTTTCAGAGCGAATATAACAAAATGATCTTTACCCTAATGTAACCAGAGTTTTTATGTGACAACGGGTTGCATTCAATAATCCCATTTAATGGTTGCAAACGAGTCTAAATACCTAGGAGACATCTAATCCTTTTCTGAATGCCTCTTTTTATTTGCTTCCACAGTATCTTTCTTATAAGCTTATTGCTGCTAGTATAAGGAGCACTAAATAAACTATAATTATATCCTACTTCTATTCACTTGCTTTGTCATATTTACCTTTTATTTTAAAAGATGTAGAATTCTAACCTATTTTAAAGTCTCAGCTATTCAGCAATTCTACTGTAATAATTATCTTCATACCCTCTCTACTCAAATTTGATGGTAGTAATTTTGGGGGAAGCCAGTCTAGTTTTTTGGTTTTTGTTTGGTGTTTTTTTTTTTTTTTTTAATTAAGACACAATTGACTGAGACTGCATGCAATATTTATGATGCTAAGTATGTGTTTACAAAATTAAAAAAAATATTTTCTGCTTCCTCTGCAGTTCCTTCTCCATGACTTCCATCATGTACTTTCCTTTTTGATGCCTGCTCAGTAATGAACCAATGTGTTCAGAGAACTTTTCACAAGAATACCAATATTTCTCTGCTGAGTGGCAAGGACTTATGTATATAGAATAACTGATCCTAAATACTTAGGGTGGTGGTGGTCAGCTTTTGAAAACTTACCATTTAATCCCACCCTTTGTTTCTTACCTTCTAACATTCACACCTTATCCCACAGAGCTTATTTTCTTTTATAGTTTCAGCTAGATAACTTCCCCCAAAAGTTTCTGAAATTCAAGTGCATTACATTCACCCACACAGCCTTACCTACATCTTTCAAAGAAAAATACATCTGCGAGGCATGACTTCCTTTCACAGAGGCTGTATTTGACCTATCTCATTATACTGTATGTACACACAGTCTCAACAGCTTCATCACTGTACAAGTTTTTATTCTTTTACAAAACTTAGACTTACTGGTCTGCAGTTCCACAAATGCCTTGGATCTCCTTTTCAAAAACTGACACGAGATTTGCCTACGCTCCCATATTCCGTGGTACCACAGCTAACTACATTGGCAGGTTATATGCGCAGTGCAGTTTGTTATAAATATATTTTTAAAATTCCTTTATATTCTAGTTCCTGTACAATAGTTGTATGAATTTGATCCAGTTTTGCTAATAGGTAAGAATGCCCGTCTTAAGCCAGGTGTAGTCTCGGTAGGCTCCCATTTCAAGTGTTTTTACAAGTTAATGTTATGTCTTAAGCAGCAAGTTGCTTCTCATGTTTTCTACAGTGTTATATTTTATTTGTCATAGTTCTGGGAGTGTCCTCCATGATTGGACATGACTTCTACTGCCCTCAAACCCCACCCACACACTCTACAGTGTTTTACTCTGACTTGCTTCCTTATCAAATAAGTTGCTTGCTGTTGTCATAAAAAAAAAACTAAAAAAAAATTATATAGGATACATTTTAGTGAATATGTAATGCAGTATCTTAATTTCCATTTCTGCAAGCACTGTTTGCCTTTTACTTGCCTTTTCTAAATTGTCCTTTATTTTAAAAGGGATTTTCATACAGATCTTAGGTTTTGTAAATATGTTTAAGTTGGGAATTTAAAATTAAATGTGTTGCCATTTGAAGGCTATTTCAATTTTCTGGTATAAATGTATGTTTATGCTCCTTTTCCTCTTTCAGTAATTTAAGATTAATTTCTAGCAATATGGACAATTTATTAAAGAGAGTAATTCTGCTATACTTCTTGATTTTCAACTATTAACCAGAAATTATTTCTGTATTTCATTAAAACAAAAAAGTCACAGTGCTCAGAAATGCTAAATATATGAAAATTCCTTACCCATATATAGACTTCTCTTCTGCTGCTTTTCAAGACTTTTGGACTCAGTTCAAGAATTCCCTAACAATAAAATGAATGTACATTTTCAGGTAACATGTAGTAACAACAAGATACTCCAATACCCCAGAATTTTTTGTTTTGCTGAGCGCCTATTGTACCACACAACTATTTATTAAAAACTCTCCATAATTAATACAACCTGAAATACAAATGAATATATAATATTGTGATTTCACCCCGCACTGGCAAAATATGCCAACATAAAAACCCTTACTGCAGTTTATATACAATTAATGGAAGACTACTCTTCTCCTTAACAAGTAAGATTCTGTATTACACAGTTCTAAGCTTCTTTAAATCAAAGCCAATGGGAAACTGAATTATGTCTCCTTCCATAAATGACAAGAGACATCTGAAGCAATAAATTACTGTCAGCATAATACAATTTTCAAACAAGGCAACGGAATATGGGGAATGGGAGGAGTTACTGGTATTTTTCTGTTTCATATTATGTTCCTCATTTTATGACACAAGGAAGACTCACTTTAAGCTAATATGATGAACAATGTAACTAAAAAAACCAGAATGAACCTAAAAAGCTTTCAGAAACCCAGTCCATATGTAAGACTGAGGCCGCTATGAGCACCCACATAACAGACAAACAATAAATATTTTTTCCAAAGAAGAAAATAGGCAGGAAACTCAATGTACCTGTACTTACTATAAGATTTCAAAAGCTGCTACAAGAAACTAGAGTGGGTTTATAACAAGGAAACTATACTACAGCAAATACCAGCAGCCAAGGCAGCTTATTGTTAGCATGAGTGAGAAGTTACCACTCTTCTGCTGATGGACAAAATATAAACAAACGTAAAAAAAAAAAATAAAAAATCACTGAGCTTACCCAAAGCTTCTAGGAGAGGCAAAAAGAATCATAAATGGAGATGATTTGTAGCATGCTAAACTAGATCTGTTCACACAACCTCCTATTTCCTATGCACATAAATCCCTTAAGAGAAACTATTCGAGACTGAAGGAGGTTGAGGATTATTTTTCCTATTTAAGAAAAAATTAAGATAGCAAATGATGAGATGATGAGTGTTCAGTGAATAATTTCACTAACATGTCAGTATGACTCAGCAGTTTCAAATAGTCTTAGACCATTGTTATATGTGTTTTAGTAATTTGTTCTGCTTTTGCAGTTTCACAATTAAGAGAAGCATTTAAAATAGACTCCTACATGTTCATGTTCTTATTTTACAATTACTCTGGTCAAAAATCCTATGTGGTAAATTTTATATTTTTATAAAAAGAAGAGAGCTGTAAAAACAAGGGAACTGAGACTTAAGTGAATTTCTCTTATGAAGAGGTCTTGGTGTAAAAACACGACTTTTTAAATTAGCATTTACCCATTCTCCAATTATCTTTAAGGGCTAATTCTGTTTGTCATGTGAAAGATTTCTCAACTATCTGCTACTGCAGCAGTTTCACATTTTACATCAACACATACGTAAATGTATAGCATTACAGTCTTAGCATGTCATATGATTTTTCTTAAACAACTTACCCAGATAACTACTAAAGATGCAGCATAATAGGATGTCAACAACATTGAATTACCAAACATCAGAATAAAACACACTAGAAGAGATACCTGAAAGAAGAAAATAATTAAATTTAATAAAGAAAATGTAAGAATTGCCCAAGTATAGAAATTACCTTGTGTTAACAACTTTAAAGACACCTACTTCACAGCAACTGCAAGCGTGATACTCAGCTTACAGAACTGTTCTGAAAACGCTGACTATAAGGACTTAATGGTAACACATAGCCAAGTGGAGATTATTATGTTAATTTATATTTTAAAAGTACTTAGAGACAAAAAGATTTGATCACAGGACTAACCCATCTTACATGGTAACACCTACATTTTTTAAGTCAGGAATTACAGATTTTTTTTTTTTTCCAAATTATTGTACTACTTGTCCATCCTGTTTTATCTTTCAGAAGCCTAGACAAACATAAAATGTTAAATAAAATTTTTGTCGTCTTCTCTCTTTCAAACTGAGAAGCATATATTTAAAATATAATCATTGCCAAAGTCAAGGAAGCAGAACTCTTGGCTGTTTGATCATATACACTTAACTATATGAGGTTGAAAGTCAAGGCTGAAATACGACTTCTATCTGCCTTCCTGATCTCCTACTGTGCTTTCTTTTTAATAGGAAGCAAGACGAATTACATTTTCTAACTTGGAGAGCAAAATCAATCATCAATCTCCGTCATCTTCTACACACAGGAATAAGGAAAAATAGTGTAGTTATTTGTAAAATATACAGACTTTTGTACTCCCCTCCTCACACAGTTAAACTTTCATTTTCTGCAGAGAAGGGGGGCGCATGGGAGGGGCAAAAATTGAAAACACCACAAAACAAAGACTGGCAGTTTACTCAGGCTCATTTAGCTTTCTCTGTAATATAACATGATTGTTTATCTGTCTGAAAATAGGCTTTTTATGACACTTCGGCACCAAAATTATGATATAGCTATTGACATAAGTATTTCAACCTGCTTCTGTCAAAAAATTACAAAACCAAGAGGTTTATTTGCAAATTTTCCTGATAAATCTGACTGGGAACAAGCATTTGGCATCCGAAAGTTGTATCAGAAACGAGCTGCATAGAACTCACTACTGCTGTTAATTTATCATTTACACTATGTTTCAAAACATGTTTGAAAACATATGAAGTACAATTTAGCTCAAAGCTTCTCTCCTGTGGTAAACATTGTCTTTCTGCCCACTGAGCTTGCATAGCACACTTTGAGCAAAAATGTATTTTTAAAAGGCAAACATATTTCTTAAAAAAAGTTGTTTACATCTCCCTGTATATCTAAAACCATAATATTGTTTCAAAGAGCAAAAATCCTGGTAGCAAAACTTGATCATTATCTTAACTTTAAAAATTAAAGTCATGTATATTATACAAACACTTACGTGCCTTTTACTTATGCTCTCCTTCCTTTGTTCACTTTCTCATCCATTTTTGAAAAAATAGTTTTTCCTCAGACTAATAATTTATTTTCTTTCTAAATTTCTATCTAAATGTTTCTATCTAAGTCTCTCCCCAAATAGTTCAACCACAACATCTTTGCACGGTCAAGACTACGGTAGTCTTTGAAACCAAATTTTGGGTTGAGGTTCTTCTCCTTCAATGATAAAGAGTCTATTCTCTAATTTTAACTTACTAACATCTCATGATTTTGTTTCTGCTAATCTGGCATGAGATGAATGCTGCCTTTTCAACTTTTTATTACTCATGCTCTATTACTTGGTATGTTTTCTAGTCTGTTGCTTGTGACAGTATCTTCACATTCACGGAATGAAAACAGACAGAAAGGAGGGGCAAATATTACTACAAATCTTTTAGGTTGATAATGTTTCTGGAGTTCAAAAATTCCTGTGCACTAAAGGGATCCTACTTTGTGACACTGTGATATAAATACACATAAAATCAAATACTCAAATCCAGGCTTCTCCGTCCCTTATTATTGCATCTTTTCAACCATCTTGCAACTAAGGAAAACACTTCAGACAAATGGCCTCTTTTGATGCTCTGACCTGTTTAAGGAGATTTAAGTTTTTTAAAAAAAGTATTACCATATGAGCAGAGAGTATCTTCTGTAATTTGCAGGAGTCAATATAACCCATAATACACACAGCAAATAATGAAGCTATCTAGAATCAAAAGTGAAAGATAATTTAAAACAATTTGCAGTGGTCTACTCATTCTAGCAGAACACACTTTCATACAAAAAGTGATTATTCAATCAATCATTAACTTTTACTGCTACTTTTTTTGCTAAGTACTTAGATATTTCATAATGTTTCTTTCAAAAAACCTACTGTAGTGCTCCAAATAACAATTACCAAACATATCTGAAAATTTAATAAATAAGAATTCAGCTTTATGAAAGCACAAGTTTATCAAGACACAGCACTAACACATCATCTTTCACCCTTAGATTTAAAATCAAAACAAATCATTCATTAACATTACTCAACTTTTCAGCAAAGTATCAGAACATCCGTAATTTGCAGCTGAGGAAAATGAGATTCCTTGCCTTGAAGGCAGCTTGCTAAAAGTCACATGGGAAATTAATGAAATTATGAATTGAACCTGTAATTCAAATTTCAGACCCAGAATCTTAAACAGCTTATAGTGATGAGTTTCTCACCATATTTTACAGAATTTAATGGCTTCCTCTTCCGCAGTTAGAAAACTTGCATACCACAGCATATATTGATTGTTCAAAACTATCAACTCAAACCAAGCAACATCTGCTTCAAGTAGGACAGACAAGTCAAAAGGTACGGAGACACAGATGGATTTCAATCAACAGGCGACATTTCAATCAATTTAAACGCTAAAAAAGTGTGCTTTATGACAGCATCCCACTGTTCACATTAGCATTTACTGTATTTCAACACTAGCTAAAGTTACCTGAACTGTCCAAACTCAGACAGTAAGATTATGCCACTACTCACAGGCTCATCAAAATTAAATAAGAAATCATGCAAAATCATGCCAGATATTACATGCCATGCAGACACTGCTCCATTTAAAAATTTGTAATAGCCTAAAGAGATGCAAGATCAATGCCTTTTTTACTTTTGCACTTCAATATACAAAGTTTTTTTCTTGTTCTGCATTTGTTCTAATGTACTGATCTTAGACTGGAGGCTGCTTTCAAGAGAAAATTAAATTTTTTTGTCCTGGAAACAGAAGACTGAGTGGTGTAAATGGTCAAATTTTAAATTTAAAGATTAGAAAAACATCGTGATAAATGTTGTGAAACTTTCCTGAGAGCAAGAGTGAAATCTGCCTAAAAGGAAAGCATCAGTATAGTTGTGAAATCAATGACTGTCCATACAAAGCAGTCAATTTGCCTAGATGAGACAAAAAGGCTATTCAGAGGTGAATATGGTCTTACCTGTGTTAGAAGAACAAACTGAGCAAACTGCCAGGGAAGCATGAAAAAGATATTAGAAACACACAGTGCAATCAAGCTTCCTGTATTAATATTCGGAATCCTTGGGAAAAAGAGACAGAATAGGCATCAGTAAGTAAAATCAGACAGGTGTTTGCACATTAGTGAAAAGTACAACAGAGAATGCATAAAAACAAAGTTACCTTGGAAGTTAGCTAGCAATATTGATCAACTACAAATAACACTGCTCAAGTAATTTTAATATCCATTTTCCACTAGTTTCCAAAAACAATAGGTCTGATGCTTAACTTTTCTTAACTATTTGATGAGTCACTCATTAACAAATAAGTCTTCTCCTGGCAGCATGTAATATGGCAGACCAATCTATGTCACTTGCAGCGGTCCACCTTGTAACAACTCTACAGTCAGGTGACAACCATTTACATTTCAGCTGGGATCACAACTGTTCTCAGAACAGTCTGCATTTGAAAGTGATTTCACTCCTCTCTCACACATTTCTTCCACATTTACTTTCTGCAACTTTCTGCTAGCAATCCTGAGTGAGGTTTCAGGGCAGGAGACAATGACAAATACATGAAACTCAACTCTAACTGAAACCAGCCCATTCTCTACATCCTGCTATAAGCATTACTTATTTAATCCTGTGCTTTGAGTTCACTTCAGAAACATCTCATGTTTCAAATTTCATGAAGTGACCTCCAAGAGATGAAGACACCATAAATATCCTGCTATAAAACCCAAGCCCAAAGGATTACAGCAGTTTGATCAAATTCTGTAAAATTTTCTTCATCTTCTTTCACAAACCCGTAAGATGAAATTCTATTGGAAGTCACACTGAGCACGAGTCTAATGTATTAAGTAATACGTTATACAAATGTAACATAAGCAATACAAATAATGGAGAATTTAAGTTCAAATATTTCACTGGAATCCTTCTATACATAAAACGGAGCTGCTTTTGAAGCAGGAATTGTAACTGAGAAATAGAAAGTTAAAATGTTTTACCCCCTTTTCGGAACCTCACTCTGAAATGCTTAGATTAAATACGTACTTCTCATTGGTAAGCAAGCCTAAGTACTATTTTACATACCAGGATTTGAAGAACAGGAGTGAATCTACCTAATCAAGAAGTGTCATAATTATAGGTACAGAATCTATGTGCTCTGCTCACCTAACTTAAAATGTAATTTTCTCATTTTTTGTTTGACCTCACAATTTAGCATTAAATGAACAGGTGTCTTTCTAATATGAAATCTAGCAATCACTCTACAAACTATTCCTCAAAATATTTTTCTAGACAACATGTATCTTTTCCTCACCTAAAACCCACAAGTTAGTGAAGAGCATGAAATATTTTTGGTTTAATCATCAGTAACTACAAATCAGTATGATGTAATAAAGGAAAATCTGGGGTTACAATTACAAAATTCAGCTAAATCATAAATATGCTGCAATGGAGTTGGTGAAAAAGCCATCAAGTATTAATGATCATGCTTATTTTTCAAAACAGAGGGAAGACAGTAACACATTCATGTTGCATGCCAGAAACAACCACAGAAAAGCAGGGCTTATGAACTCAAGAGCATCCCTGCATTAATGTAATTAGATTACTCTAAGTCATTGAACTAGTTAATTAGTCATAGAAAACTGCAAGAACGTACTAGCTTATGGGTGCCTATAGCATCCTCTGTTCCATAGCATAGGCTTATTCTAAGTGCAACCAACATACCACTCGCCAAGAGGGACAAAACCAATTGATGGAGTATCAGCTTGTTTCTCATGGGAAGGAATTGTCATCAACCAAAAATTCTGATTTTTAGTTTAGATACGTATTTGCCAACACAGTAATTCTGATTTTTATTTTAATCATGTCTTCAAGTTGCAAAGCTTTTCCTTTTAATAAGTGAATAATAGGACTGCCGTTCTATTGGTGCAGCGTCTGTAATGTAACAGCCACAGGAAAGTTTCTATGTTAATGATATCATTGCTATAGCACACACAGGCACTTAAATAAATATTTAAATAAATGCATTCAAATAAGTGTCCTGTGACATTCAATTTTTAAAATCATAGTAAAGAGCTAAGTATAAATTGAGAGGTACCTGAGAATATAGGTCAAAAGCAACATCTGAAGCACAAGGAATGGGTATGAGAAACTTTCACGAAGAGGTGGAGTCCACATGACGCGAGTGCACTAAAAATAAGAACTGGGTTAGATGATAATGTTTGCTGCTACAGTTCCATAAAACAATGCATTTGTATGTCAAAATGGTTGACTGCAGACACTTCAATAAAGCTAAAACCAAGCTATGAGATTTTACTTACAAACTTGAAAAAAAATAAGCCAGGAAGCAGAAAAGAGGAGGAAAAAGGAAGCTGCTTCCAGACTTAAGGTCTATGATGCAATGTTTAATTAAAATAGATCACTCCTTTTCCAAAATTAAATGTGGCAGCTAGAGAACATCCAAGAAAAAAGTCAAGACAGCAGCTGCTTGTCCCTGCTTCTGCTGAAATTAACAACTCATTTCAGGTAACTAAAACTATCCTCAAATATAGGCAGAAACTTCCCACGCTTAGATGGAGAAAATGGGTGGGGAGAGGATCTGAAGGGTAAACCAACATACTTTTCATTGTGCTAGAATTCTCTAGGTCATAAACATTTCACATTTCTACTAGCAACAGCACAGAAAGCATTTATCCAAAGCTGCCCTCCAAAACAGGCCAGTAAAACTCAACACATGAAATTCAGCTCTTACCAAGCTTAAACTAACTTACATACTTTGTTATCTAACCCTAATAAAGCAAAGCATAACATAATGAAGTCAACTGAATAGCTTTTTCATTCATTTCTTGGGGTTCATGGCAAACAGCTCAGCTATAACTGTCATCTAAAATGTTTATATTCAGCTCTTTATATAAAGTGCTTGCAGATGGCACTGAGCATCAAAAAATTAAAACTTTACAGGACAACTTTGACATACAAACAAATGGGTTCAAAATGTCTTATCAATAGATTTGTACTAAAAATTATAAATGGGTTCTTTACAACTATAGGACAAAAATATAGTTGATCTTAACATGAACCATAATGAATCTACAAAAGCTTATAGGACGTTGATGCCAGGATATTCCCTCTCCTTTGCTTCCTGTAATCTTAAAACCATTTTTTAAAATAATGTTTTACCAAAGAAGTCACTAGAATCAACATTATACAATTCCTTGTTTATTGTCTTGCTATTTCACAAATATGTTAAATTAATAGTGTAAAATAAATGTGTAGAAATAGTGTAAAATAAATGCAAAGTACCGAAGCCCATCACATTAATCACAGTCCTTGCTGTCTAAAAGCACTCTCTCTAAAAGCTGCACTCTGATTAACATTAAAATAAACCTTTCATAAATATATATACTAATGTTATCTTCAGCTGACTGCATAGACATGACTAGTTAAAATTATTTTTATTAGCAATAAATACAATCATGATTATTCTAAAGCACTGCAGCCTTTTTGATTATTTTTCAAGACTACAGCAACATTTGATTTACCAAATCTTTTGATACTGGAGGAGATAAAGACACGAAAGAAATGATGACCATATACAACCATAAAAAGGAAGCATTAACTTAAAAGTGGATTGACTAATGTAGCCCATGCTATTTTTCTATATTTGGAATGTAATACTAAACTCAATCACCTGTGGATGATTTATCAAGACTGTAAACTAACTTTGCTGCAGGTATAAATACATCTGATCTGTCTAAGCTTGAAATCATTAAAACACAGTAGCACAAGCATAGCACAAATAAAACATACTGCCCTAGGTTCATTAGCTCAATGCCAGAAGGCTAACCACTTCTAGACAGCATTCGATCTGAGATATCAAGACTTGCAGATCAGGCTTACTCTGGTGGCTCAGTCCTATCCTTCCAGAAAAGGAAAGCAAACTTTTGGCAAATGATCTAGCTCCACTGTACATACTGTTGAACCACATGCAAGATGATGTCCACAGAATCAAAGGCACATTGAAGAGTTAAATAAAATAGCTTTGATACATACATGCACGCATAGTGACTCAACAGTATGCATAGTGAAGCTAGACCACCTACGTGCATGTAACTGCGTGTATTACCATAACTCCACACTACAATATCAAACAACTCTAAGTTACTTCAGGTAACTCAAGTACATATAGGTAGAGCACAAACACAAAGAACCAGCTGAGATCTAGCGCTACACCTCTGCAGTAAGTCCTATTGCTCTCCAGAAATCCACACAGCTGAGCCTGAATCTGTCACCCTACTTGAGCTCTACCTAAGCCCAGGCTATGCCTATGTAGAGCTATGCAGACCTAATTTCATGCCATTCTTCAAAATACAATTATCTGTGTTTTTCCCTCAAGCCAAGTCATCCATATAGAGAGATGAGCTCTCCTACAGAGTCTCCTATGGACAGGAGAATTGCCTGTGCCATAGTGAAATAAACGCTTGTTTTCATTATTGCTACCACCACCTTTGCAGTTTTCAACTTGCTCCTTTCTGAAGCTACACTATCACCTTCGCAGGCTTGGCAAAACAGTGCACAGTCTATAGTATTTCCTAGCAAAGGATAAAACATTCACTTCACCTCAGAATGCCATTAAGAAGAATGGAAATTCACACTAAAAAAAACCCTTTGTATTTACCCTCTTATAGCACCAAAAAAAGTTTAGAAACTCTGTAACATCTACCTGGTCTGGACCAGGCTGTTAATATCCATGGGTGAAAATTCTTCACAGAGGATATTTAGAGAAAAAACATTTCAAATGCAACTTAAAAATAAAATAGCTATTTTATGACACAGATTTTTGTTTTGTAAGAAAATTGTCAAAGCTCACTATGAATAAAAGCATCCTTGATTCTGTTATGAGCAACCACATATTCTTACCACTCAGTTTTCTGTCAAGTACAGGTCAGTAAGAAAAGAAAACAAAATGTAACTTTAACACTTAACAAAATCACAAGGTAGCTAGTTTCCATCTAGAAGATCTTTACAGTACAGCTGCATTTTAAATAAAATAAATATTTATATAAATTTATATATATAAAATGAACATTAGAAAAACAAAAACACTACCCCAAGGTATCGGAATAAAAGACATGAGTTTTCTTCCAAAATACAAAACAACATGAACAGCATTAGCTAGGGACACAGGGGAATGCTTTAAGTGACAGTTTCTTTTTTTTTTTTTCCCCTCCCTGTGATGCAGCTTACTAAAGAAGTTTAGCACTGGAATTCTTTATATACATATACAGTTTCTAAATTCTCTGTATCTTGTCTATAATATATCAGCACTACTGAGGTTTCTTTGTGGGTTTTTGTTTGGTTGGTTGTTTTTTTGTTGTTGTGTGTGTGTATTCCTGAATTTCCAGTAAAATACATAGCAATTTAAAGAAAACGTCCTGCGTTCTGGAAGCTTGTTCATATGGTACATGTAGCCCAGCTATGTCTGGAATGGGAAAAAAAATAGAATATTTTGACGTTTTGAAACTTGAAGTCATTGTACTACTAAGACTCCAATCTCAGGACCACTTTACAACATATTTCCTTTCTAAAATAATTTTTTTTTTTAAACAGCTAAGGTGACACATTGGACTATGCTATACATTTCCAAGTCATAGCCTAGTTTGCTTTCAATAATGTCTTCTTCCCTTTAAATTCACCCCTTAATACATAAGCAACATCACTATCTTTAATGATATGAAAATTGGATTAAACTTAAAAAAAAGAGGGGGGGGGTGGTGGTTGGGGAAGGAGACCTACCTCTCCATGGTTGAAAAAGAAACACATCACTGTAACAAGGCCTCCTAGACGGCTCCCACTGTGAAAAGAACAGGAAAAACAAGTAAAACAGAATCTCATAATGGTCAACGCTGCTTAAAAAATGTGAAGCAGCACTTACGCACAGCTAAGCTTATTGGGGTTGTGGTGGGGAATGCTTTCAAGCATCAAGGGAAAACAATCTACAGTGTACACATAATATTAAAATACTAGTTATCTAATGGTTATTCCAGAGCAGACCACTCTCCACCTATCAGCCCTTTTCTGCAGAACACCAATTTTAACATAAATAACTTCTAAAACAGTTATTCCACTCCTCACAAATTTCAGTTTAGATCATTACATCTGATGCTTCATCTACTGTACCCAGAGCTCGGTCTTGAAGGATGCCAAAATTTTTTTTTTTTTTTTTTTTTTTTTTTTGGAACACCAGACAATATAAATGGAGTATTTCTTCTCTAAGATGTCGAGCAGAAAACTTTAGAATTCATGCTCAATTACCCAACAGGGAATTTTGGTCTGAATCTAAGACTATGTTAGGGTAATCAACTCAAGCACGTTCAAAAAACATATGTAGAAATCAATTCATGACATGGTCAATGCAAGATACAATTTAATACTTACATGAAATACTGTGATGTTAACTTGAGAAAAAAATTTAAGCCCTTGACGTAAGGACTTTTATGTTTCTAAACCAATCAAATTCACCTGCTGAAAAATTAGCACCATGGAGTCAACACTAAAACCAAAGATATTACTTAGATTTATCCCATCTCACAACAGCAATAGACAAGGTTCCTATTTGTTTGACTGGGTTTGTAGTTACTTATGTCCTGTGATATAAAGCAAACTGGTTTTGTGCACACAAGTGCACTACTACTCTGAATGACAGAGTATACCATTTTTGCTACTTAAAAAAAAAAAAAGTATCAGTCAGCCGTTAAGATTCTTTAAAAAAACCCGAAACAAACAAACGACAGATCCTTCACCCATCACTAATATACAAGTCAAACGGAATCAGTGAGTTCTGGATACAAAATCTGAGGATTAAAGATACCAACTCAGTGCTAAAACAATTTCCAGAAACTGTGCATTCTTGCACACACTCAACTTTCATTTCACAAATTCTAAAAGCATTAACACTGAAAGCCAAAATGACTAAAAGAATGTGTTTAATATTAAAAAACATTAAGTCTTAGAAACAAAGCGAACCAAAAATTTGCAAAAAAACACACCCCAAACCCAAAACAAAATTCAAGATCTATGCTAAAGGTTAACATTGTGATAAAATCTTAAACTCTACAATGCAAAGGTCTTAACTGTATTATTAATGCTTTAATGCTATCGGCCTCTATAAGCAATCACTATTTTACCATATGACAAAAGATCAGTAAATCTGTAGCACAGAATACGGACATGCACCTTGTCAGGATCTTTTCCAGAAAAAGGAAGTGAGCCTGTTTCACAGGTTATGTATAGTGTTGAGTTAGACTGGTCATCTTCCAACAGTGCAATGCTATCATGTAGGAGATACAGTAGCTAAGCCTTTCTATGCCAATATAAAGGATAAAGGATAACTCTTTCCACAGCAGCTCTCATACCATACTACAATTGGTGAACTACATACCCTTCAGTTGGAACCTACTTCTCCCGTGTTTAATATAGAATAATCTAAATTTAAGAAATAATTAGCAATTTTTAAAGAACTGTAGATGACCCGAACAGTTATACTTTGTCTGGCTCAAATAATGAAAGAACTAGTCTTTTGACTTCCTGGGTACAATAAGCTGAAGCTTAAAGTCATCTGGGGAAATGCTGTAATTCATTGTTGATTAACATGCAAGAAAGAAAATACTGAAAAAGTACTGTCAAAAGGAGATACAGGAAATTTACTGGTATAGTTCCTCAAGTTGCAGTATTTGACAATCAGCTCAAGTATTCTGTCCCTTGACTACAAGGTGAGAGAGGTATAAAGTATTTCTTATCCAAATGCCATTCCATTGTCCATAATAAAAAAAAAAACCCTAGAAAAAACAATTATGTAAGCTTGAGATGATTACTGCTAACAAATTCAGGAATGAAAAGATAGATAAAATACTGGAGGATGGATTCCCACCATCAAATGAGTCAGGCTATAAAAAAATCTTTCAAAATGGATAGCAGAAAGAAATCAGCTTTATGAAGGAGACTTATGCCAATTCATAAGACTACCTACTTCAGTGCAGTGGAATTGCATTATGCCAAATTCAGTTACTGTATTTTTCACACCTTACGGAAAAGCCTATAATATTCTGACTTGCTTTGACTAGGAGGAACAGCCATAATGACTAAGCAGTCATCTAGATCTGGTATCCAACTATGAATATTCTTACAGAATAAATAAATAAATAAGATCAAAAGTCCTACCTGCAGGAAATTTCGTAGTCACTTGTTATTTTTTATAACCCCAGATAGCTAGGGTCTTACACCTTGAAAGAACTGCACTTATATTCTAGTCACCTTAATTACCTACACTGCAGATTATTTATATTAAGAACTGAATTACTATCAATACTTGATAGTTATTTACATTCAACACAGCCGAAGTCTAAGGAAAGTTACTGAGAAATTAAGACCTTAATGATTTTTTAAATAACAATACGTAAAATCTGGGTTTCCACACACCTCCCTTAAGAGAAAAATAAGAAGATAATGATACGAATATTCAAAGTTTCTCTACTTCCACAAAACATGAGACATTAATTCCCTATGTTAAGGAATACTAACATATATGCTTTACCCCGAAACACCTAATAGTTGCACTATGCAACTTCCTCTTTTCACTGTCAGCTCCTGCCCTGCACTATTCTTTGTTTGAACTATCAGCACATGCTTCAGAGTGTGCAGGAAAAAAAACACAAGACAGTGAAGCCAGGAGATGAAGGGAAAAACCAACCATGTCTCAGAGGAAAATGTAGCGGCCTTTTGCTTTTTCACAAAACCAACAAATGAAAATAGAGGTAAACAGAAAAATAGTTCCACTTCTGGTTTTCTGCTGAATATGCAGTCTATTTTTATATGAAAGTATATTACAGTTCCTGAAATTTACAGACAGACACTGAAAACAGAAATTCATAGAAAAAGGGAAGTGTATACATACCTCCAAAAAGAATGCATTATCTTAAAAAATGTTTTGCATTCTCAGTTAAAACTGAGACGTGAAATATGACTTAAGGGAAAGCATTGGGAAGACTCCAGCCTTGGTTGAAAGTACACTGTCATTCAAACTTCATTTTAAAATGAGTTTCACTGATAATTTTAAGATCAGAAACCTGTCAAAAGCAGTTTAAAAACTGTACAGCATTTAATTTTGTCCACAACCTGGTCGTACCAATAAGATAACACTTCACTAAAATTTTCCACAACTTTTTCTGGCATTATCATTTCTTTTAGCAAAAACCGTCCCTGTTCCAGTAATTTTTTAGCAACAATGTATATGTAATAAAAAGCACTACTACTGCACAAACAAATAAGTAATATCCCATAAAAATATTTTAGCATTCACTTTTTCAGATTTCTTATAAAAACTAACAGCTAGTACTAATTAAACAGCCCAGTCTCAACTGCCTTACCTGAGGTATGTACCGTATATGAAGAACAGTGACATCATTAATCCATTCAAAAGAAATATCACAGCAACATAAAAGGAAGCAGGGTCTCCCAACCCTAACAAAGAAACAGTTAACACATGTTGTCAAGTATAGAAGAAACGTCATATTGCTTATAAACCACCATACAATCAGTATAATACAGCACATTGCATACTACTTTAATGGAAAAGACAACCAAAAAAGTTAATGTCACCAAGATTATTGTGGAGATTCAATCAGAAGACTACACTCCTGAAAAACAAAAAAAGAAGGAGGGGTAGACACAGCATTGGGGAATCAGCAACAGAACAAGCCAAGAGGGAAGCATTAACTCCAAACAAAAAACCTGCAACATATAGAAGCCATAAGAACATTCTCAGACTACGTTTTAACTTCATACAGCTTTTTAGAACTTTTTAGAACAGCTTTTTAGGTTTGTATTCCCTATACTCCCACTTTGCAGGACTAAATCCATCCATCACACACAACGCTCTTTGTTTCAATGGAAGTCAAGAGATTTTCCAATAATGCAAGTCTTTCAATTTATTCATTCACAAACACTTCTGTGTTCGCACTTCTGTTATTATTCTCTTTCCCATTATTTCTTTAAACCCTCCTGGCATTAATCATTGCAGCAGTACAGTATAAAAAGCTTTATTCATTACAAAGAAGGTAGTAGAATTTCATAGTATGCAGAAATGATTATTCAGTATTGCTGAAAATACAGCAAGACTCTAAAGTAAGATGATGATATGCTCACCAAAAATGGTAGTCTCAATAGTTGGTGTTTTTATTCATTTAGTTGGGTTTTGTTTTTACAAAAAACAGGAATGAAAAGTTAACATTTATTCACTGTATACTGCTTCTGACAAAATTAGAGAAAGTGAATTATTCAAGTTTTGAAGAAAGTTCCTATAGCCTTTGTGCAAAGGAAAAATACTAACTTGTCACCACACAAAGACACCTTAAATGATAAAATGAAACAACTTCACAAGCTACTGTCTATCATTCAGCTTTAACTGGCTGTATAATATCTCAAAAGCGCTTCTTGGCAAAGTACTTTTATCACATAATACTTACTTGACAAGCCAATACTTAAAGTGTGGGAAAAAAAACAAAACCAAAAAAGCAGCAGTGTCCAAGCTTTAGTATAAAATTAAAATTCTTATGCTTAATAGCAGGTCACAAGAAGAAGAGGATTCTTCCCAGAACAATCACTACACAAGATTTCTCCAAAAGGGAGCCTTGTAGTTACCCTTTTCCCCTTCCTCCACAGTCCTCAAGCTGTAGTTAGGGGAGGAAATACAGAGGGTAAGTTTCCGAAATGTAGGAACTTGGAATGTATTGGGGATTCTACAGAAGCTACAAAAAAATTAACATATACAATAGCCTCCAATTACATCTAGGACATCTTATTCTTTACAACAGTCCAACATTATGAAGACTCACAGAATCACAGAATGTTAGGGGTTAGAAGGGACCACTAAAGATCATCTAGTCCAACCCCCCCACCAAAGCAGGACCACCTAGAACAGGCGACACAGGAACACATCCAGGTGGGTTTTGAATGTCTCCAGAGAAGGAGACTCCACAACCTCTCTGGGCAGCCTGTTCCAGTGCTCCGTCACCCTCACAGTGAAAAAGTTGTTCCTTACATTAATGTGGAACCTCCTATGCTCCAGCTTGCACCCCTTGCCCCTTGTCCTGTCATTGGCCATCACCGAGAAGAGCCTGGCTCCATCCTCCTGACACTCACCCTTTACGTATTTATAAACATTAATGGGGTCACCCCCCAGCCTCCTCTTCTCCAAGCTAAAGACACTCGGCTCCCTCAGCCTTTCACCATAAGGGAGGTGTTCCACCTCCTTAACCATCTTTGTGGCTCTGCGCTGGACTCTTTCAAGCAGTTCCCTGTCCTTCTGGAACTGAAGGGCCCAGAACTGGACACAATATTCCAGAAGTTTCAAAGTCCAATATAGGAATTCAACCTAGGTAGGAGGATCCATCTAACAAGCAAAGCCCACATTCTCACCCTGGTGTTCTTAAAAGTATCTTTTTTTCATGCTTCTCACTTATGCTGTGAACTTGCCAAAAACACAAGCTTAGCCAAATGAAAGCATGTCAGTGATAAAGACACAGGAACATTTATTAATTCTGAAAGAGGTAAAGCCACAATTATATGCTTCCAGGACAAAACTAGAATAAAACACAACTCACCCTCACAGCTTTCAACAGGACTAAGCCCTTTTCCTCTGTTTACAGTCCAACATGTCTTTGTCGGTACACCAAGGAAATCCATAATGGCAGTATAAGCGCGGTACCAGCTGGCGAGGACCACCTAGGTGGGAAACAGGATTTGAAGTCTCTGAAAAGGAACTTCAAGATTAGCTCAATGCCCAAAGTAACTTCCCATGACAACTGGCCCTCATCCAGGATTTTTTTTAAACTGAGAGATTATCTAACTACTTAGCATTTTGACCATAATTTCCTAAAGGCATCCAACATAGACCAAGTGTTCATTAATAGACTAAAATTATGCCTGCTTTAGAAGAGAAATAATTTCATGCATCAAACTACAATATTTTAAAAAATTATATATTTCTGTATGTCTGGAAGGTTCCCTATTTAACTGTTTTTAAAATCCCAGATTTTGTTGACAGAGGAGAGTTAGCCAAATTAAATCCATTCAAACCAATTAATATATTTTTCCACCTAGCAAGAATATTAATGGACCAAATCTCTAGGGTTTTTACTCAGATAAACTTTTGATAGGCATGCATTAGAAAGGGCTGCCAGATGCAATGTAAGACAGCATTTCCATTTTCCATGCAAAGGTCATAATGTTCTTAGAACAACAACCACCAAATTAAACCTCAACACCTGACACAGAAAACATCAGTATTTTACACACAGAAAAATGACTCATCTCACAGCAAAGTCACTAGTTAACATTACCAATGTCAGGATATAACTGACTTATAGAGCTCCTAAATGAGTAATGTGGCCATTCCAGTTGAGCTGCTTTGAAAGTTATAATCCAGGGGTTCCCAGACTGTTTCACCACTGCAATATTAGCTGTCTCAGCCCTGTGTCACAGAAAATATGTACAAGAAGGATGATTCCCTCTCTTCTTTCTCCATACAATTAATAGAAATCTTTATGTGACTTCTATCTTCGAGAAGGGCAAGAAGGAAACACAGGGAATTACACCTTGATCTCCGAGAACATGGTGGAGTAAATCCTCCTGGAAACCACTTCCAAACATACCAAGGACAAAAAAGCGATTGGAAGCGGTCAGCATGGATTTACAAAGGGGAAATCATGTCTGCCCAAATTCACAACCTTCTGAGATGACTGTCTTGGTAGATGAGGGGACAGCTGTAGATTTTTTTTTTTTGTATCTGGTGCCAATTCTGTTCTACATCTTAAGACTAGATGATGGCACAAGAAAACACCCTCAGCAAGTTTGGACAAGATACAAAATCAGAAGGACTGGTTAATGCTTTTGCTGCCAGAGGGACCTCAACAGGCTAGAGAAATGGGCCAACAGGAATCTGATGAAAGGGAAATGCCAAGTCCTGCACTGGAGAGGAATACCACCATGCACCAGTACAGACTGGAGTTGACCAACTAGAAAGAAGTTTTGCAGAAAAGGACCTGTAAGTCCTGGTGGACAAGTTGTACTTGAGCCAGAGATAGGCCCTTGTTGCAAAGAAAGCCAAATGTATCCTCAGCTGTATGTCACCTGAGGAGAGGAGAGAGGAGATCCTTCCCCTCTATTCAGCACTGCTAAGGCTGTATCTCCAGTGCTGTGTTCAGTTATGGGTTGCCCAAGACAAGAAGGACATAGAATAAAGATGACTGAGACAGACTCCTTCCAGTTGACAAGATGAGAGACAATGAGCACAAATTGAAATATAGGAAATTCCAGCCATACATAGTAAAAAAAAACTTTCTTACTTTCAGTGTGGTCAAACACTTGAATGCGTTGCCCAGAGGTGGAGATATTCAAAACAAAACCGCAGATGGCCCTGAGCAACCTGCTCTACTTCACCCTGCTTCAAGCAGAGTGTTGAGACTAGACGATCTTCAGACATCCCTTCCCACCCCAACTGTTCTGCAATACTGTAAGTCATTCATTTTTAATACCAGGGCTCCAATCATCATGTCTCACTTCATCTGTGGCCTTTACACTCTCACAATGTAAATCTTATGCATTTAAAATACAACTACATCTTTCTAGACCACGACTTCCTGCCTCAATAGTCTGTCCTGTAAAGTACACTACCTTGAATTCCTGGAGGTTTCCTGAACATCTGTGTTCTGGCATTTCTGACTGCACATATACACACATGAACCAGACGCTTGCCCCATCTCCAGATAGGCAACAACAGGACTGGGGAACCAAATCCAAGTCTTATCACCTGAATGCAGTTTGTACACTGCCAACAGCACACATACGGCAGCTTAGAGACATCTGTCTAGCGTATCTGCATCATCAGCCCTGAAGCTGACATTACCCTAAGCACACAATACATTCTTGCTGAACCAATGTTGCACAGAAAAATCTTACCGATTTATCAACTTAACCTTTTTACGCCACAAGTGCTGGTGTCTGCTGCAGATGTCACCACACATGAATACTCCCTAAAAAGGTACCAGGTTAGGTACTTCATGCAAAACACAGAAATGTTTTTTGACAAAAGCTATTTTACACGAAACAGTTAACACAGGCAAAGAAAGGGAAGCAAATCAGTAGTACAAAACTGCAAGGTCAATTAGAGCATAATGGCATTTTTGGAATTTCTACTGTCTCATATCAGATGAGGCAGTAAACGCAAAACTTGGAAAACAAAAGACTGTCTCTCAGACTCAGTAGATCTCTGTGGGTGGGCCAGTCCTTTGCTGTAAAAGAACATGTAGAAAAGTCAATCGCTTTTACTAGTTGCCTTTGAGTAAGCACTTTAACGCCAACTACACTATACCCATCACTCCAACTCAAATTTTCATCATCACTGCCACACACAGAAATATCAACTGTTCCGTAACAAGGAACCACCAGAGAGTAAACATAACACGTTATCTCTCCGACACAGAAATTAACACATTATCTCTCTGCCATGTTGCATCAGGGATCACACATGAAAGCACCACAACTACTGGAACAACCTGACTATGCAGCAAATACCTGGAAACCCAAGACTTTATTGGAACTATAATATTGTCCAACTACTAAGACTGACTTGTTTCTTTTGACAGATTTTTTTTCACTGCTTGTATTTATAATTTATACAGATGATGTAGTGATTGCTATGGACTCACTTTACGGTTTTTTTTCCTTCTTTCGAAGTTTTCATGGCTAGTACCAGCTGTACATGCAAGTGAATTGTTCTACTCTTCTTAATGGGTTTATTAATCCTGTTTAGCAACTGAATTTCAAAGCTGGTTTTGATGCAATTCCTTTTGAAATCCGCTAAACAAATAAACATTTTATTAAAATTCAGTCTTAATGGCACGATTTGGCTCAAAAAGCTGGGAAGATCCTAAAATATCAAACAGGAAATGAAACACTTTCAGAAAACAGGACTGGGTACTGAGTATCAGAAGGAAAGATTTCACTGCCTATAAATAAATCCACAAGCATCTTCCCATCACCTAGACCCACTATAATCATAAGTAAAGTCAGATAAATTTGGAGAATGTACTCTGAAAGCCAAGTTGCACCTATTGACAGTTTCATAGACGTAGTTATGTGAAAACAAAAGTACTCAAGAAATACACTTTAAAAAACAAAAAAGAATACTTACAGGAAGGCTAGACATCAAGCAGTAAGTGACTGAAAGGAGCAGAGGAGAATATTTGTCTGCTTTGCATGTCCACACAGGCACAGAAAAAACTAATTCATTGATAGCCTACCACCAAGTTCTGTGAGCCACTACAATCCTACAAAACTCTGAATGGACAAGCCTACATGTTTTGCTCAGTAATCTACCCAACATTCTTACAGAATGTCAGCCACTATATCTGATTGCTCTTCTTTTGATTTTTGTCATCCAATTTACTTAGTCATCTTTCATGGTCATACTGATAATTCTCCAAGAGCAAGTTCAATTTGATTTTTGCAGACTATAGCTGAAGTCAATAAATATTTCTCAGCTAAAGAAAATAACTTCAAATAAGGCATATGTTCCTCATGTTACATTTCTAGTATTGAACTGCAATCCCTCTGGAGTTAAAAAAAACCCAAAACCAAACGAGCAACACCACCACCCCCGAAAACAAACCCAAAACCAGTGAGACAGTAACAAAAAGCACTCATCTATAGCATTTAGTTCTTCCAGAGGAAGGAATTAAGAAGTAAATGAAATCACTATATGCAAGTGATATACATACGCATGCCCAGAACTCTTACAGATACAGTTCCTGAAAGCAGCTCTGCTCCGACAGAGCAGGAGAATGAGCATAAATGCTAGCACCCAACAATTACAGCCATTACTAGTCCCTGGTTCTCCAAAAAATAAGCTTTTGCTGACACATGGAGTTACAGAAATGCACATTAACCAAAGGAGTTTTCCCTTTGCAAAACATTTGAGACACACTGGCAAAACCATAAGAAAGAGAAAACCAAACATTTCTGTATTTAAAGACATGTCTTTTTTGTGACAAAAAAGCAGAGTAGGAACATAATCTAACCAGGAAACAATTCTAACATCAAGTACATACAGAACAGCATCAGTCAGTCTTCTACAGAGGAATTTCTTCTGCAACATGCAAGTAACTATTACCATTCATGGATTTTAGGGCCACAGTGAACTGTGATGTGTTAGGTCACTGTCCTACAGAAAATGCAAGCCAAAACAACCAACCTCTCAGTACCTGTATCACCGCAGGCATTACTGTCACATACTTTATATGTCATACTTCCTGAAGTACACAATGCCATCAACTTACTTGCTTTCAGTGAAAAGAACAAAAGAAGACAAGTAGTATATAATCAGACTGAAACTTTAGGGCATGAAAGTATTCACATTTGATTGGACATACTTGAAGTCTGAGAATTGATCACAATCTATGAAGTAATGTTCTCATTTTAAAACTGGAACTAAAATACGGTATTTAAGCAACATTTCATTAGTCACTGTGTCTTTGCAACCACATTCCAGAGTAACATTTCTTACAAATGTGTAGTCAAACCTGAAGAAATGAAAGAATTATCAGGAGGTATTATTTTTAAATCATAGCTCACCTCTGGGTAAAGATTGAACCTTTGTAAGGTGTTAATCACTAAAGGATATTCAGTTAGCCTGTCATTCATAATTGCCCACACTCCATTCCAAAATGATGGTGCTTCAATAATGATCTTGAAGTAGGAATAATAAAGACCCTGCAGGAGAACAGAATCATTATTTACAATTAAAGAAGTCACTTCTGCTTCATGAACTGCCATACACAAGCTTTGTTTTTAAATCAAATTTTGTAGTATAACAAATAGGACAAAATTATTCAAGATGACTATCCAGTTTTTCGAGTCTCTTCTATTAGTGCCACTGAAACAAGCGATGTGGCTTTCCTTTCGCCTCGTTTCATAGCACACCTGAAAATCTCTCCTTTGGACTGGTAACTATGCACTAGTATAGTATTTCACAATTCTCAAAATAAAAGCAGCCAAAAGAAAAGGTACATACGTATGCAAACATTTATTAATTACAAAAATTATTTTAAGAAAAAACACTGCATAACAAGCCTATAATTGAAAGTAAGCTACAAGATACTTGTAGGTCCTCTAGAATCACAGTTTTAAATTATGTTTTGAGTAAACTGTGAAGAGATACATTCATAGTGACCAGTTGCAAGACACACAAATGCTCTGCAGGTAAGAGTGTAATGCATGTTAGTTGCAAGATATCATTATATTTACTTATAAGGAAGGTATTAAATTTTGGAAAGCCCACAATCACAAGATTACAGACAGAAGTTTTCCAGTTGCTGAATTTTTATTGAAACATAATCTAACCATTTCCGTGCGAAAAGCCATTTCTCTTTCTAGCGTTGACAGGTGAGAAAAATGACGGTCATTTTCAAAAAGAGTTGTTATGTGACACCTGTTAAAAGATAATAATAGTTAAAACTGAATAAAGAATTTTAGAACCTGTACTAAGTCATATATACCAAGGAACACCCAGAAAAACATTCAACGAAGACCCAAAGTTTACTTACAAACTGCTACTTTAATTTACTCCTACAGTTATACCAACATTCTCCTCTATTCAGATTCTTTTAAATGGAAAAAAATATGAACCCATAGAGCATCTATTAAATGCTATCATGGAATTACTTATAATACTCTAATGTTACTTATAATACTCTAATGTATTTTAACTTAAGTGCAGACACTTAACGATCGAAAGTTTAATGCTATTAAAACTATCAAGTGCATACTAGGAAAGAAAATTCAAATCTGACAAACCAAAATAATCATATACTACAAACTGGTGAAAATAACAGTGCATATACAAGTAGCGTATGTTTTTCCACAAAAATCATGCCTGACTTGTATTTTTACACAGTTATCTGCCATTACATACAGATGTGCTTACCATCAAAAGTATATTTAAATAAACGTGCAACTATAGGGGGGGAGGGGGGCGGGCAGGGAGCCAGGAAAAATGCAAAGAATTCTGGAGGCAAAACCTGCAATTTCCAAGAGAAGCTTCACCTCCAGAAAGGACAGGAAAAGGAAAAAAAAAAAAACCAGCAGTGCACACAACTCTGCTTTTGAATAGGAATTTGCAAGAAACTAAGTACTAAAAATCAATACTTCTTTTTCAGCTAGGAAACAGAGTGGCAGAAGCTGTTACTTTCTAACTGCAGAAGCAGCCGGTGAAAAACTACAGAGCCATTCCATTTAAAATCTATACTACAAAAAAGAAGGGTGAGGATTAAGATGGAACCTGAAACACAAGGATAACATTGACAAAAAGTAGTTGAAACACCATACTTCTGTACACAAAGAAAACATTGGCCAGACTTCTCTGAAGAGGTTAGAGAAAACATGACGTAAAACTAAAAAATCGAAGCAGAATCTAAATAAGTAGAGCACAGGAGAAAGTTAAAAGGATTTACCCAGACTTTCAAAACACACTGAGAGTAAAAAAGGTCTGTTAGTGAAAATGCACCTGAATTTGTATAGCCAAGCAACAATTTTCCACCTAGAAAGCAGACTTCACTCTTTGCTCAACAGGCTTAAAAAACCTTTCATGTCAGCTTCACAAAACCAGAATTATTCATTATAGAGACAACAATTTGGTTTTCAGAGGAAAGATCTAAATATAAATTATCCCAATAGCTTGTCTAAGTATAAGTAAAAATGATATTTTTATTATTTTAAAATACTATATTAACTCTCAAGCAATAAATTTAACCTTACCAATGCAGGACTCCTGCAAAAGCAGCTGTAAAGGAAACAAAAGGTGTCAAGTTACTCAAATATTTAAATAACTGAACATGAAATAATGTTCACTAAAGTAATTACAGTACTACTTCAGAGATGCACAGAAGGTACTCAGCCTCCAGAGGAACAGAAGAACAGAACACCTGAATTAACTTTCATTGCCAGCTCTTTGAAAATCTGAAATTATGCTGATAGCATTCAGCAATACACAATGTTCCCACCTTTAACCTGCATCACTCAAGTTGATCAATCAGAATCTAAGGCACCTATTTCAGCTATCAATAAGTAAACTGAATTACAAGCAGTTTTTTAAATAAGCATAAATATTTTTAACACTTTTAAGATACCTACTGTGACTGTTCCACTCAACTCCTGCTCAGATTTTGGCTCACATCTCATGCTAAGGCCTGATGTATGCTAGGACCAGCACTGTTAGGCCAAAGCAAGGGCAACACATAGGCAGGACCCAGTGGCCGGAAAGTGCTAAAGGTCATTACGCAGCCATTATTGCCTGCAGCTTGCTGTCTCCTGCAGCTGCAATCTTTGCATATTGATCATCTGGCAGTTTCTTCAGAATCTGCTAACTCATGGAAATGGTATAGATCAAACTTCCAAGCTGGAAGGTATAAATACATCAGCTTACCCAAAAAGTTTTTGAAGCAGATCCAGCAGCAGCTGGACTGCTGAGGCTTTTGTGCTTCCTGGTGTGATAGAGGGGACACCTGCACCATGATGGAAGAGGAAGGATGAGCACTCCCACCATCAGCTAGGTAACTGTTTTGCTCATAGGTGCACAAATTAGGAGTTACAACTTCTGAGATGCAAATTAAGAGAACTTGTGAGTTAGAAACCTCATGCCTTAAGCGATGAATTAGTGAATTCCAATGTTAGACCGGTCTGTACAAAGTGGACTGAGTCTTTGTTTGTCATGCTTGTTTGTTTTCTTTCCTAATGAGCTCATAAAATAAAGGTTATTTTACAGAGTACATTATCCTGTAAATTTGAGAGATCCAAACGGGTCGTGACAACAAAGGCAAATCCAATTGAGACCACAATTGCCAAAAGAGGTAGACTCTGCATGTAATGTCCATTTGAAGACTATCTGCACTGTTGACATGTAGGTACAGACCCAGGGAGGTAATGTGAGGGACAAAGGGAAAAGACAAATCATATAAAGTGATGGGTAAACAGTTTAGGTCTCTGACTTCTTGAGCATGACAAGATCCACAGAGAGCAGAAGCCACTCCATTTTGCATGGGCAGCATTCACAACATATCCAGAGTTCACCATGGAAGCAAAGCCAGCATGAGCGAGTGAGAAAGGGTAGGCATTCAGAAGGACCATAGTGCTCCTTCTAGACTGAAGGTGTCTTGGTTGCCCTCTAGGCACACAGCGGCTCCCTGTCACAGAAAGGTCAGGTAGACTGGTTGCCTTCAATCCAAGAAAATCTTTACAGTTAATGAAGAGCCTTCTTCTTCACATAGGCTATATGGAGCAGAGAGAAAGCAGAGAGGCCATCACCCTCCCTGTGCCCACCGGCCGGAGCCAGGAAGGTGCTGAGCACCGTGTCCCTCTCCAGGGTGCTGATCCGCACACACAGGCCGCAGCTCACCGGCACCCGGGCACTGCCCTCGCCCCTGGGACCACAGGGAATGGGTCCAGCTGCTTGCACATATGCAAAGCATCCATCCATGCCTGCACACTGACGCAGCATATAGCCTGAGCGTTAGCAAACGCGCATGTGCTCAGACTTCATGTTACGTGCATATGGCGGTCTGTTTCTGGAAGGCAGCAGGGACAAGAGAAAGAAAAACACCTTCACAAAACCACTGAAGTTCTGTGGAAGAGGAGTGGACTGAAAGTATACATTCCCAAATCACACGTTTGTTCAACACAAAGCCTGGAAGTGCTGCTGCCGACAGTACTTGTTATCACTGTCACCACAATGCTGCTCCTGGCAGTACTTGTTATCATTGTCACTACAGGTCGTAATGCAACAAACTACATATATGAACCTCAATTTTAATATTAAAGTTTGTATACAAAGATGTGTGAGGTGAAACTGGGTAAGACAGAAAAAAAAGAAAAATTACCTAAGGGGAAAAAAGTTTCTAAACTACCTGCCCGTATAATTTAACATTTACCTCATTACATACTTTACACAGTAGCTGAGGTTGTATAATACCACACTGAAACTTCCTTAAGAGTTTTTCAGCTCCACTTCAGTCACTGAAGCAGTTTTCTCAGAGAAGCCTAGATTTCAGGTAGAAAATGAATACCACAAGCTTTCATTTAAAACTTCACATTTTTATATATACTTTCTATTAAAAAAAAAAAAATTGGATTGCTCAGTATGGTTCACATTAAGTGGAATTTAATGTCTTAGGAAAGTTTCAGGAGATACAGATTTGTTTTCTACTCAGGACATTTACATTAGTTCTCACTGAGAGCTGCAAACTCCTTTTTCAGAAAAGCACATATGGGTATGATATGGAATTCCGGGTAACCACACTGGCTATACCAGCAAACCATACTCTATAAGCAAACACATTTTGCAGTAATTGTATGGAAAGAAACAGAACAGTCTATACCTTTCTTAGTTATTACTTATCAAGTCTCATATTTGCACAAGGCATTATTTCATTTCTCAGCAAATTTTCTAAGATTCCCAATAAGATTAGATGCTGAAATACATTTACATATTCATACCCTAACTACAAAAAACTTCATCAATTTTAAGACAGGTTACAGTTAAGAATATACAGTAAATTAAAAATAAACTCACATTAGCTACCAGTACTGTTCATGATTTCAAATCTATGTGGTTCCAAATAAGCCAAATATGCAGTATTTTAGTGTTGCAAATAAATTATCTATTAATATGGAAATTACATTTCAGATTCAAACATACCACTTATTTCATAGAGAAAACAATATATTTAAATCTGATTCTTTCTTTCAGTAAATGTTTTATTTAAAGTCAATGCATTAAGTCTAAACACATTCACAGTTATTTTGGAGAATTTCATATACATTTCTACAAAACTTCACAATTACATGAATTGCTGTGTGATTATCAAAGGTCTTCATTTTGTACTTATCATTCTAAGTAGAAAATGAAAACCTTTGATAATCACACAGCAATTGATGTAATTACTCACATTTCAAGAGACAATGCAATTAATCCATAGGCTTCCACTACGAGTCCAAATCGGTATTTTTCAACAGACTGCATCCAGACTTACATCAAGCTGGTTTCCGATTGAAAACATGCCGATCAGCTCTCTTAAATTACCATCCTTTGATCCCATTAACATATCTACTGGGGAGGGAATGAAGGAGAGGACAGGAGAGAGTCCTAACACTACAAAGGCTTATACAGCTACTATGTACTTGAACTTGCAGATGCCATTTTCTCGCCCAGCCTAAGAATCCCTAAAAGCAAAGCATATGATCAGTTTTTTGCAGACTAGAGCTATTATGTAAAATCTGATAGTTTATTCTTCAGATTTCCTATTTTTGCCTGTGTTCTGTTCTAAGAAAAGCAATATGAATGGCATATAAGAAGCATTCTAATTCTGGAAATTAAATACTGAAAAATAAAGCCATAATATACAGAACTCGCTTACCAAGAGAACCACAAATGCTGAGATGCTGTAATGCAACAGGATGTGAAATGTACTAGAAACTGACTAATACTTTGCAAGTATCCCCAAAGTGCTAGGTAGAAGTACAGCAGAACTGGGAACAATGAGGAATGTGCAAGAACCGACTACTTAGTCAAGATGTTCCATTGTGAGATTCCGTGCCGTCTAGAAAGGATGTCTTCAAACAAGGCCTCTCAATTCAGTGATCATTTTAAAAAAGCCCAACATAATAGGGCAAAGTGTTGCACAAGAATGCCCTTGAAAATCAGACCACCTCATTGTTGCATTAAACTGGAGATAATTCTTAAGAGAAAAGAAGTCCCCACCCTATAACAAAACTAGCTCCAACTGTGAGAGCCTCTGTTTTTTAAAAACTGGACCTTAAAGCTTAAGCAAAGCAACAACAAAAATTCAAATACCACTAAAACTAACCAAACAATGCTATTTCATATGTAGCATACATACATTCTTTGCTACTGCAAATATTGTATGCTTTTATGTACTTTGCTATTAAGGGTATACTCCTATTAGAAATATATAAGTGTATATATATATGTGTGTGTGTATATATATATATATATATAAAATCCTGAAGTGTTTAATAGGTTATCTGGGTTTCACAGTCAAAATCAAACTCCAGAAATTATAAAGCTCTCTACCTAATCTGCTCTCAAATTTCAATCAAAGCAAAGTATTTTTCAATTCTGACCATCATTTTAACGTTTCTATGTCATTTAAGTAACCACTAATCTAGGAAACACTGAATAAACAGAGGTGAGCAAAGAAATTCAGGAACAGTTTATTCATCAATTAGTTTGTAAGGTAAGGGTTGTTTCCCTACTACTACTACTTTGCAATGTAATTCATCAAACCGAAGAAATTCCCTTTGGCAACACGCACTACTGGTGGTGTGATTAACAGTACCAGCATCTTCGGAATACCCTGACAGTCTTTTAATAGAATACCTTTAAGAGTATATCTAACTGTGCATCTGACAAATATGCTATTATTTAATATTTGCTAACTTCAGGAACGCATTTCTTATTCAATTTTGCCAATACTTTAGAAGCTTTTTCCAAGACTTTGGCCGTTAGCCATTTTATTATTTACTCCAAAATATTCCCAAAAATAACATCTGAATTTACATTCACCCTATAGTTGTATGTTACTCCACCTGTAATCCTTCCAAAACAAGATGTTTTCATTACATTACTTAATAAGAGTTGCCTTTCCCCCCCCCCCTAGAAATGAATGACTGGATAGGAGAGATCCATAAATATCTGCACAATTATTTTCCTACAAATGTTCTAATACCACATCAACTGCTACGATACCAGCTTTACAAAAGTTACCAGGTAGGATGTTATTTCCTGTCCCCTTTCAACATAAGCTATGCTTTTTTGGTTTTCCAAGTTGTATTTCCAAATATATTTTGATACAGTTTACAGTTCCAGAGAAGAAGGGTAAAAACAGTATTTTGCCCCTACGTATTCCTCCTACTTACCCAGAAGGAAAGTGAGCCATATCTTGGTATCAGCTTTTATGACGAAGGCCTTTCTGTCATCGACAAATACTGTCAAAAGAAAAGAAACACCTTAAGAACAGCCTCTGTAAAAGGAAATCTGTTTGAACTCTGCAGCACTAGTTTTCTGTAAAAATCCTGACTAGACTTCAAAAATGCTGAAGGAAATTTCACGCAGCATGTTGATAACTACACATAAAAGCTTTAAACACCACAGATAGACTATTACGGTGACCACACAAATCATCAGGTTTTTAATTCCCGAAACGACTTGTACAAAATAACTTGTCAAAAGCAGATTTCTACATAGATATGTTATAGACACGTTTGCTCAAATAGAAAGTCAGACTTTTAAAAAATAAGCAACCCTCCATCCTTTCAGCAAAGCGTTACGAAGAAATAGGTTGGTCACGCCAACACTATAAGCTGAGCTAGTCAACACGATTAGAGGCTGTTTTAACAAGAGTTAGTTACACAAACAGAGTATTTTCCCGGTTTTCTCCCAAAGGATGCTAAAGGGGTAAAAAGCACGTTTCCTTCCCCTCGCCCCCGATCTTCACCGATACCAATGTGGGTCTCGTCAGTTGTTTTTTTAACCTCCTCCCGCTGTGACAGGCTGAGGGACGGGCACGGGGAGAGCGGGAAAGCAACCGGCCACCAGGCGCTGCCCCAGGACACATCCCTCCAGCGGGGAGACGCCGAGAGGCCGCGGGGGTGCCCGCTCCCTGGCCGAGGCGCTC